AGTCCATCTCTGGGCATTTCAGCTGTGGGCACTGCCTTTTCAGAGATTTGTTKAATGAGACCAAATGCTAATCTAAAAATCATCAGGGATACTGGTACAGGACATGATAGAATATTTTTAAGGTAATTTTTGTTCTTCTTTCCACATTTTTTTCAGCTTACATATACTTTCTGTATCCTCTGTATCCACTGTTTCCTTATGGGTGACTTAATACATGGGTGATTTAAGCCATTTTGTCCCCTTTCTAAATCTCAGTCTGAGTAGAAAGGTTGCTTCCACTTTCAACCAGCAGTTTGGTCACAAAGATCCTAGGAAGCAAATTTAATTTAAACAAGATGGTTAAGTGAACCCCTCAGAGCAACACACCTGAAAGCACTGAGGAACCTATCCTCAGCCTGCTCATGTTTTAAGACATCACCACAGATTTTGGTGATGGCTCTCCATATTTTAAGAGTTTGGACCATTTTTTTTCCCCCCCCATGCGTAGAGATCCACTAAGGCCCCCTATTCACTGCTTTTCTCCGGGCATCACTGACTACAAGCTGATGGGAGCAACGGCCCAGAAGAGTAATGCACCTGCCTGCAGTGAGCAGTTTACTTCAAGGACAGAGGCAATATTTTGGACAATTCATCACTAGGTGCAAAACTACCTGTCAAGCTACTTGGCTGATGAGAAGGGTTTATTTTTTATTTTTTTTAAACAGTATGTTAAGTAGAAAGCGGATGAGCCCTTGCTCAGCTGAGATTTCCAACAACTTTAATATGTGGATTAGTTTTAAGCAAGACTGGTTTCTCCCCACACTGTCATCCTCTTAACTATCATTCCAAAATAACTGTATTGAGGGGAAAAAAATGTTCCTTTTTGCTCGGCTATTTGTGTTCCAGGAAGGCACTCTGATGGCCAGCCTGACCCTGCTGGTGCCACCAGCCTCTGCACGAGGCTGTTCTGGAAAATGCTTTGCTTGAACTATCCCCCATTCATGCCAAATATAAAGGGAGAAAATCTCAAAACTGTGAGCCTTTCGGGTGGTACAAGATTGTTCCCCTCTCTAACCATCGGCATTCTCCCCGCTGTGCACTCTGCCCTCCTGCACCCCATTATCCCCACGCATGCACCCCACGATCCCGTTGCAAAAGGGATCAATTTTACAATCCGCCAGCACCAGCTAGATCGATGCCCGACTAATACCACAGAGGCGCCTGGAGGGAGCTTCATTAACGTGGATTAAATAGCCATCAAAAGGACTGTGTGCCGACCGAGTTACATGCAGATGATGCGATAAGGACGGTGCCCGTGGCCAGGCTCCACAAACACGCCGGGCTGTTTGATGTCCCTCGCACACCCCGCTGGGCAAACAYGGCCCTCGGCGGGGAAGCAAAACAGGCTGCAATTCGAGCGAGACGCGGAGCCGGTGCTTTGCATCCCCTGGCTCACTCCAAACAAGATTAATCATCTCCCTTGTGACGAGGTGGGATAATCCAGTTAGTATCTGTCAAGAAAAATTTGCTTGTTAAAAATACACTGCTGGTCTATGAGCTGTTTGTTTGCTGTATTGACAAAAGCTGCAAAGGGGATGTTCTGTCCTGCAAAATGCASCTTGTTTTAACTCCATTTAAAGGAAGGATGGATGCAGGAGGACTGTCCCTCACCTCACCGATAAATATTCCACCTGTAAATATTAAACCTGGGAAACGTCAGCGCATTCAGGTAGAAGCAGAAGCAGCTGCTCCATGCATAAACTCAWGCTTTTGGCAGTTTTACACTGACAAATGCCCACGTAAGAGCAATGTTATAGCAGACGTGCAGCCCCAGCATAGCCTCTTTTTGAGAAATTTCACATCTATTTTTAGAATATGGTGCTTATATAAACCAGAGTGCGCCCAAAGGCTGGTAGCAACGAGGGCTCAGYGAGCTGCGCCTGGCTCATGCATTACTCAGGATTTAGCCATTCCGTGAAATTGGACCCATTTGCACTAGGATACATTTTACTTTATTTAGGAAATAGCAAACAGCTAATTGCTCCAATCTGTGTTAATCCACAGTAGGGCTAAATTTAGATCCAGAAACCGCTTCTTCCAATAAATCTGGACTTGGACGCTTTTAGCTTTACAGTTGGAAAGTAGGAGTGGGCAAAGGACACCAGCCGTTTGGGAGCAGCCTGGGGCAAGCAGGGGACCAAGGCAGGGACAGCTACGCATTCACATCAGCCACTGTGTATATGTAACCCTATATATATCAGCCTATAACCACTATGTGCCACTGAGGCTGCAAAAGGGATGAGATGGCCAAACTTTACACAAAATTTACACAATTAAACAAGAAAAAGGCTTTCAGTAAACATCTTCACTTAAACAAAAAAGTACAGATTAAAGATTATTAAAGTATCGATACCTGTAAGGGTCTCAGTTGGGTTGTTCATCTAGAAAGCAGTGCCCTGCTTGGCCGTACGTGAGTATTGGTGTTTAACAGCACAAAAGAGAGAGACAAAGCCCTTGCACCAGCAGCTGGACCCCTCTGCTGAGCTGAGCTCAAAGTCCCTCCAGTGCCTGGGCCTCAGGAACAAGACTCTCTGCAGTGGAGGTGAGAGCAGGGGCTCGGGCAATGCTGTGGATGCAGCGCCTTGGTGCTCTTCACCACTCTCCTGCTCAGACACTCTAATAAACCTTTCCTTAGACCCAGCCCCAGAACTGAGGAGCTGCAAATTAAAAAGAAAACACTGAAAAGGCACGAATATAACCCTGTGCAACCTGCAAAACTGTAATAGAGAGCAAAAAGATGCATCTCCACATCTTATCTCTTATTTGGAACTATAGATTTTTTTTTTTTTTTTGCACATTATTTTCCTGCTAGCCATAGATAATAACAAGGGCTCGGTAAGCAGAAGATTTTTCTCAAACAACTCAAACACATGCTTTGAACTACCGCATAAGAGTACCTCCCTTTCTCTTCACRGTAGGAAATTTTGGCTTAAGGGCCTTCAGACCAATTCCCCTATGTTTTTCCCCATTCTCTACATCTCCCCCGTAGCAAGGGCAAAGAGTAGCACTTTGAAAGACACAGACGCAGATTCAAGCACGGCGCTTGCGAGCTCTGCTCGCTAGGGGCTCGGATAAGATCGCCGCAGCTCTTGCAACACATAACGTAAGCGAAGAGGAAGAGGAACGTCGGCTCCCGCTCGCTGCACGCACCGCGGCGCGTGGGACGGCCCGCGGCGCCCGTGCTACCCCGCGTCCTGCGGACATGCAGGGAAGAGGATGTGCGCAAGAAGCCTGGGCCAGGGCGAGCGCTTGTGGCCAGCAAAGCCCGAGCCCAGGTTTCATCACAGGCACTTAACCAGTCCAGTAAGTAACTTTTTATAGGCCCATCTCATCTCACAGTTCTATATTCAGATTGTTTTTTGTTTTTACCTGGAATATTTCCTTTTTTTTTTTTCCATTCTTCAAATAGAGTCCTGCTTAGCGGGCACTTGATTTTATGGGTATCCAAAAAAGCAATTAAAAGGTTTACAATAAAAAGGATCAAACACATGATTCTCGCTGCAATTTTCCACATGCTGACTCCTGCCAGCTCTACAGCTTGGCAGATGCATGGGAATCTTTCAGCTCTACCTCTCGAGTCTCCTCCAGAGGCATCAAGAAGGCATTTCATGAAGCCCCAGCAAGTTCCTGGGTTTGATACAGAGGAGCCCTGAGCTCTTGACCACTTAGCTAAGCCTCACTGGAGCTTGGCTTAGGAGCCTTCTCATCTCCTCTGTTCTTGGGYACATTTTTCCCCCTGTCCCTCCAAACTGCTCAGGAAGAGCAGTTGGTTTGAAGGTTGCTTTGAAGCAGGTCTGCCCACCGCTGCCTGCTTGCAGCCTTCTGACTCCCAGTGCTTCCACATGCCCTCTGTCTCCGAGGTAAGAGTCTCATAACGACTCCCCTTGAAAAATACATGTAAAACATATCTGCTGCAAAGAAAACATTCAAGGCAGTAGTGAAAAATTTAGAGAATGAAATTTTATCTTCCTATTAGACCTTCAATATATCCTGCAAAGGACATCCAGCAAGAGCACTGAAAAGCCTCCGTACTCAAGTGCGTCCACAAATTACATTGCGTTTGTTTTCTCCACGCACTTCATGGCAGCAACTCCCCTTTGCACAGCTCTGAGTGCACTGCAGCCAGGCAGGTTTTGGGGCTGCAGCGATCCCTGAGGATCGGGCACTGGGAGCTGGACAGCTGCAGGAAAAGCAGCGAGCAAGGTCAGAGCCCATCTCTGCAGGACAGGCATGGAGTGCAGCAGAAACCGAGATGTGCCCCCAGTGCAGAGGGAAAAGCGAGGCAGCTTAAAGGGAAACCCTCACGATTCCTACAATCCAAGTTCTTTGGGCACGATGCCCCTCCAAGGGCTCTGCGGGATGGATGGGCTGCAGGGCCGCGGCGGCAGCAGCCCCAGACACCGCCGCCCCGCTGCACGGGGCGCAGTTCGCCGCGCTCACGGGTAGGCGGCAGCCCCAGGCAGCAGCAACGCGGCAAACCCGCAAAGGGGCGGACGAGCCGAGCCGGCTCCGGGACACCACGGACACCGCGTGCCTGGCGCCCACATTTATGTGTTTTTTTATCGAAATAACCCCTCCCATGTGTGTGCACAGAGCACCCTCCAAAGCGGGCATCTCTCTCGAACGCTGGAAACGCTTCTCCGGCTCCCAGAACRGAAAGCGCAGCCGCTACCTGCGGGACAGGCTCCCCACCCGAGCKCTGCGAGCAGCCGAAACCCTCCAAAACACCGAAAAAAATATTAAAAGAAAAATAAAAAGGAGCAAAAGAAGGGGAAAGGGGGGAAAAGGTCCCCGGGCGGCGCGGCTCGTCCCGTCCCGTCGCTGGCGAGCGCGGAGTCCCCGCGCGCCGCCCCGCGCCGCCGCCGGGCCGGCTATAGGGCGGTGCCGCCCCCAGCCCCGCTATAGGGCGGTGCCGCCCCCCGGGCCGGCTATAAGGGCGGCAGCGGCGGCGGCAGCAGCGGCGGGGCGCGATGCAGAGCGCGGTGCTGCTGGCGCTGCAGCTGCCGGGCGCGCACATGGAGCGGGGCGGCCGCCGGCGCGGCGACAACGACGATGACAAKGAGAAGGACAAGAAGGAGAAGGGCCGCGTCAAGAGGACGATGTGAGTGGGGCTGGCGCCGCGGGGAGGCGGGGAGGGTGCGGCGTCGCCGCCTCGGGACTACCCGCAGCTCATCCCGCTCCCCTTCCCGCAGCATTAAGGACTGGAAGACGAGGCTGAGCTACTTCCTGCAGAACTCGTCCAGCACTGCTAAGATGAAGGGCAAGAAGGGCACCAAGCAGCACACCTACTTCAGGTAACTTCTAGCAAATGGTGCCCCAGATACCCTACAAACCCCTTAAATAACATGAGCAGTGGCMTAACCTTCTCCATTCCCCACAGACCCTCTCCTGAGGAAGTCCAGCTGTGGTCCGAAGCTTTCGACGAGCTCCTTGCTAGCAAATGTAAGTTGGTCTTTGCAGAGTCACCCCTGGAAACCTCAGCAGTCCTTGGCTCCTGGGAGGTTTCTTCCTTGCACAGCAGCATTACACCTTGCTCTGGCTGCTGCACACTGCTTTGATTCTGCTCCCTGAAATAAATGCTTTAAACCATCCCAGAAACAAATTTATAAAAATAAARCTCAAAATTATTTGCAAACCAATATTAAAATTTCTTTATGATAGACTTTTTTCTCTTCTTGGTTTAGCTCTAACCTTTGCAGCTAAACTGGACTTCTAGCTGGCATTGCCAKGTACCAAAAAGCTTAGATTTAGGCTCTCTGCATATCTAGACAGAGGCATTAAAATAACTCAGGGATTATTTTGCAATGTTGTCATCAGAAGTTGAATGAACCCTGGATTTTACTGCAGCCCTGCACTTAAACAGCAGGGCAAAAGAAACCAAGAAATAACATCACCGTTTGCTCTTTGAAGTTCAAGTCAACCTGTTTACTGCAAGAATATTCCTTGTGTTTGTAGAATTATCRTAACTGTTTACTCCAGTCTAAAGATTAACATGAAAATCTCAACAGGAKTTTTTAAGCAGCTGTGCACACATCACAAGAGGGGAATATACAGACTAGAAAGCGCTTTTGGTTTTTGTTCTCACCTGAAAGCAACTAACAAACTGAAGTTTGCCAAGCACTTAGAGGTTTAGCTTTTCTTTATGGTGTTTTAGTGCATGAAAGAAACAGAGCAGAACTGCAGCAATGTGTTTTGCTAGGAACGGTCACAACGAACGGCTACATTCAAGATTCCTGGAATAATTGATGTATTTTTGCCTTTTCTCCCTTTTCCCTAGATGGTCTCGCTGCTTTCCGAGCTTTCCTGAAGTCAGAGTACTGTGAAGAGAACATMGAGTTCTGGCTGGCCTGCGAGGACTTCAAGAAAACCAAGTCCCCCCAGAAGCTGACATCGAAAGCAAAAAAAATCTACAATGACTTCATTGAAAAGGAAGCTCCTAAAGAGGTAAAAAAAGCTACTTCAACATGACTGCCCTCTTCAGTGGGCTCATACAGCTCTGCTTTATTTCTCTGAGCTTATTTTACATTAGATGCCAAAAATGCATCACACTGCTCGCTGCTAATACCTGCATGTAGAGAAAGAGGTCCACTTCCTTAAGTCTGTCATGTTGGAAAATGGCCCAAGCAGCACTGCAGAGGGTCCTTCCACCTTCTGTCAGCTGGGCAAAATCAGAGGCTCTTTTATACTTGCAACATGTTCRAAAGTTATGAATGGAAACACAGCATCATCCAAATTACTTTCCAGAAGGAGGCTTCAGTAATTGGAGAGCAAAGTAATAGGATTGCTTCAGTTTTCTCTTCATGTAGTTAGCTTCTTCAATGTAGTTCCCTGAAGTTAATGTGCTTCTCTCTTTCAGATCAATATAGACTTCCAAACCAAGAACATGATCGCCCAGAACATCCAGGAGGCCACACACTCCTGCTTCAGCGCGGCGCAGAAGAGAGTCTACAGCTTAATGGAGAACAACTCCTACCCGCGGTTTCTGGAGTCCGAGTTTTACCAGGAACTGTGCAAGAAGCCCCCCATCACCAGGGTGGCCCAGGCCACATGAGCGACTACAAGGAGCAGGGAGAAGCCTCTGAACTACTGAGGACGAAGCCACAGCCGCTGGCTGCATCCCAAGGGGAAAGACTGGGCCTGAGATGGCTGGAATCTGCCTGCCAGGCTGCATGGACATGTACTGCTGCCGAGGGTGATGCTGGAGGACACGCAGGGACTGCCGCAGCCAGGTGCTGGGATGGACTTTTCCTGCAGCTCTGCGGTGAGGAGGCAGCTCCACGGCCGAGGTGTCGGCAGAGAGGCTCGGGCAGCGCCTCCCCCATGAGCGCCCACAGCCGCGCGCCGCTGGGACCTGAGTCATTGCTTACACACTGGTTTTTCCTAAACACCAGCCGGGGCTGCCGTCATCGCTCACTCGGGGTTAACTCTGGCTGGGTAAACAGGAGGCTCCTGCTCCAACAGCTGCACCGGGCTGCTCTGTGACTGCTGGACTGTCACCGCAGAAGGATGAAGTGAGGAAGGGGCTGTCGTTCCCTCCCGGAGGGGCAGGCTGTGTAACGGGGTGCGTGGGGCTGGGTGCTGAGGGCAGAGCACGGCCCCAGTGAACAGGCACGGTCGCTGTTACATGCAGATTGGGGTTGTGTTGAATGTGAAAGCTGCATTAATGCCATAATCCTGTCTTGAGGACAGGAAGCATCAGTGAAGGGTTTTTTAATTATTTTTAATAAACTATTTTGATACTGACCTTTTTGCTTGTTTTGCATTTGTGCAGACATGTCCAACACCAACATCTAGAGCACAGTGAATGCACGTCACAAGCAATTGGTCTCATGGGTGGGATTGCAACAGGGCTAGCATTAAAGCAATAGGCACCAACAGGCAAGCACATTTTGCACAGAGTCAGAAACCCTCCAAGGCTGTAAGCTGCAAAGCACAGGAGACCAATTCCTCTACATCCCTCATTAAAYCTCAGCCCCCGTCATTAACCTCTCAAGAGATGGCTGGGCATTTGCTTAGACACAAGGACAGATGATTCAGATGTAGAGTCAACTAGACACCATCAGTAAGCAATGAGCTGTAACTCATCAAGGCACAAGGCCCAAAAAGCCTCCACCACCACCAATCTCCTCCCAGGGGTCACAGGCATAAGCCTGTATTTGGAAAACAAGCACCAGTGCTAAAGYACTAACACAGCTGCTACTGTTCAAGGCTTCAGCTTCAGGCTGCAGCATGAAAAGGTTTTGTTGAACAAAATCTAAAAAAATCTACCAAGCTATAAAACCAGCRTGGAATCAGAAATCACACTCAAGTGCTTGGCTCTCTGCTAGATGATACTCCTTTGAGAGGGAAATTACTGATTACCAGCAACTAGAAAAATGCGGTAGCCATGAAATAACAATGTCCAAAAAAGCAGCAATTCCAGAACAATTCCTCTTATGAGCTCTGGTTTTGTCAGACTTGTGACTTGTCTGAATTTGGGCTGGTTGGGTCCTGATCCCAGAACCCACTCTGCAGATCACATCTGAGAATCTGCAAAGCCTCATTCCCATCAAACAGATCCACAGCAGCCACTTCACTAGTGATCCACTTCCCCAAACAGCAAAAAGTTCTGAATAAAAGAATTTCCACTTCATTTTTTCACTCAGATTGTTCAAAATCCACAAGTTATATGTGAGTATAKGCTAGTGTATATATGTGCATAGTGTACATGCACTACGCAGGTGCCTGCTAGTTTGAGCTCCTGAATGTTGTGCCAGGGATGTGCTCACACACTTCATGAGCACAAAGAGACAGCCAGCCTCTGTTTTAGCCACATTTCCCTTAATCAAAGCAGAGATTTTGAACAGGCAACAAGATGACCAGGGAAGCAGTGGCAGGAGACTCAAAATCCATTTCTCCCACAGCTAAACTCACTGTCAGTCTACAGATATAGTCACATAAAACAAGTGGAAGACAATACCCAGTCCAGCAGTTCACCGCAATGGAGAAAGCTTTTCTCCATCCAGGAAAGACGGGGTTGACGACAGCTGCTTTCACAGGATGGCAAAACAACAGGAGGGGGGAAAAAGCAAGAGCCAAAATGCACCAGCTAATGACTCAGGGCCAGGGTGGGAGCAATTCCACGAAACTCCAGGGGTTCCAGTGAAGCTGTGCTAATCTCCGCCAGCCTGGATGTGGTCAGGAAGCAGTGCCCGGGTGTGCTTTCATGGGCAGAAGTATTTGTGATAGCAGCATGTGCCAGAGCTCCTTGCAGCGCCCTGGGTGCTCCAGGGAGGTGAGGGAGCTAGGAAACATGTGGGCGCTTAAGGTTTGAGCTAAAGCTGATCCCAAGCACTTCCTTTGCTCCCACAGGCACCTTGGTGAGGACAGGAGGAAATTGAGACATGGTCTGACAGGGGCTTTGCACAGTGTTCACCAGCCCTGATGCCAAGGTCAGCTCTGCAGCAAGGCTGCAGTGCATAAACAGCCAAACATCCTTTTTCATTTCTTTCTTTTTTTTCTCCTCTTCCCTCCTCCCTTCAATGCCTGCAGCATCAATATGCAACATTTCCCAATTACTTCTTTGTAATAAGTTCATTATAAGAGCTCTGTTTTTCCAGTTCCCAGGAGAAGCTTCACCACACAGCAAAGCAAACACATGCAAGTGCCTCAACCCCTGGACAACACTTTGGGTCTTCCTTGGAGAAGCACCACCATGGCTGCTTTAAGAGGTGCTGCTGCCAGGTTCTGTGCACCCTTAAAAACTGGTTACAATAAATAGTTAAAATTGGTGCTCAGATATCAGTATCCAGTGGCAAAAAGCAATAAACTGCTCACCCTGGAACAACCCAGCTGAGCAGTTAACTCTCCCTKCCAATGACAGAGTGTTTCCTTACTTGTTGCTTAATAACAAATCTCGCAGGGTTTGGTGCTTTGCCTGGCTCTGGAGGTAAGTGATGCTCCTGCTGCATATCCTTAAAAACACTCAGAATTATGAGAAGTTTGAAACTGTAGCCTGAGTTTGTGCATCTCTAGTAGTTCCCCAAACCAGCAGGCCATGCAAAGACTGCAAAGTTATTTCCCTCCTCAAAACACACTAATTGCTTTTAAACTGATCATATGAATTGGAAAAACTGGATCATGATTGCCAAATCTCTGCGTTTCCTAACAGTGTGTTTTAAAGGCTTGCCCTGGCACTGAAGTACAGGAATGTGCGACAGGGAGACCACCACAGTACCAAGAAGACAACRAGCAAAGACCTCTCTAAAGCCCCAAGCCAGAGGCACCCCAAGGCTGGGGTGTCCCTGGGGCCAGGGCAAGTAGGACAGTGCTGCTGAGTCACTGCTCCCAGCAAATAGGAGAGCACAACCCCTTTGTAAACAAGCGCCAATGCAGCATTCCCGCTCCATGTACTTATACATTGCAGCTGAAATGCCAAGAACATAAATAAAGTGCACARCTCCACTTGAAACTGCCCGCCGCTGCTCGCAGCGGGGACACTGACATTGCGGAGGGCTCTGCAGGCTCATGCACGTGCATGAGGAAAGGCAGAGGAACACTCGGGTTTTATGACTTGGCACTCGTGCAGAGCAGAGAAGTGACCTTTAGAAGCAGCTTCAGGAAATTCACCGATGACTCTCTTGCAAGGGACTCACTTGACTTAGATTGAGCAGGAAAAAAGATAAAAAACAATCAAGATATGGGACAAAAGCCCAAACTAGTCTTCCTGCTAGTGACACAGCATCAGCAAGAGCAGCAGTGTCTAGAGGCCCCGCAGCCTCAAGAAGACAGAAGCAAATGATCAGGAGACAGAAGGACACAGAGACAGGAGTAGAGACCAGCTGCCACATCAGCCCAAGGTCCCCTCACTGACATTGCCAGAAGAAGAACCAGAGACAGACTTACCTGCAATGCAGGGCTATGGTTCCCGCAGGAAAGCAGGATGGAAATAAGGCAAGACCTACAGCTCAGCTCAAAAAGAGAGGCAGCTCTCTAGCCTGAGCTTAAATGGATCAGGAGGGCAGAGTGAGGACCAGCTGAGGCTCATCAGAGCATTTAACACCCAGGAGAGGCCAGAGGGTCTGATACAAACAGGGAGAGACCCTGAGTGATATTCTCTAGCTCCATCAGCCCATGGCCTTGAAGTGTCTGGAGTTTCAGTGGCAGCTGAGCTTGAGCTGTGTAGGTTGGGCAGCGTGTTGCAAAGTGATAGCACCCTGTCCAACTTTGCAGCTGCTTGGTTTGGTATTGCCCTGAGCTCCATGTCTATAGAATGGGGTGCAGAGGGAACATGGGGAAATATTCCCACTGCTCCCTAGTGCATGACTCTACCCTCTGAGTCCTTTGGCAATTTCTCATGGAAATAATCATGTAAATCAGAGTTTCCAACAGCTACAAGGCACCCATGAGCAATGATTTCATGACATTCCACTAAAAATATTAAATATTCCATTTAAGATACTCTAATTGACAGTAAAGAATACTTACTTTTCTGAGCCAGTTTTCCCACCTCAGATTCAATGGAATAAGTTGTGTTTGTGCCTTACAGATTTAGCCCAAAGAGCAGCTTTGTGGCCTCTTGGATCAGTCCCTGGCTCCAGGCATTCAGGAGATGTAGTACTAACCTAATATTTATGGCGCTTGGAAAGTCAGCTGTCCAATATGGAAAATACACTTGCGAGCACTGTGGCATGTTTATCTAGCTGCTGCATTTCTGAGCCTTCGCAGAGGGCAGAGGGAAATAACAAAATCCCCGAGAGGCCACATGTGTGGCAGAGGGGCTAACGGGCTGTGCTTGCACCCCAGCATTCCCACTGTAGCTTTTCACCCTTGCATTTACATTTTAAAGGCAGAGGGAGTTAACTCTTTCCCTAGCAGTAAGTGAGGAGAGCAGCTCCATGCCCATGAGGACCAGCCACCCGCGATGGGGGTGTTGGGAGGCAGAGAAGCCGTGTTGGGAGCCTGCCGTGAGCCAGGTCCTTGCCACAAGCCAGGGCCATCCACCACATAAATGGATTCTCAGCTAAAGGCTGAGAAAAAGAACAGATGTGACCTTGGGATCAGATAGTAAAAGAGCTTTATGGCTCTCTGTGCTTTATGGCTGGAAGGSTGAAGCTGAATAGCTACACGATCCAACTGGCTGTATTTTATATAGTGATTTTATAACAGGTTCTCTCACTGCAGAGAACCTGTTCAAAGAGGCTAATGCCTGTATAGATGCAGAGGGGTTATTGAGTATGTGCAGGCTTTTTCTTTTTTTCCAGTAAAACTTCTCCATTTCTTTAGGGGAAAAAACAAAGTATGTTTCAGAGATGAGGAGTTCTGGTTAGTCCAACGAAAAAGGGATCTGATTCATTTTTATCTCCAGTTCCAACAAGTAGGGTTGCTCTCTAGAGACACATTAATAATTAGGGCCAAATCTGTCACTCTGAGGAAATCACTGAGCCAGGAGCTACCCCACCGTTCATACGGCTCTTCCCGCAGGTCGGTGAGCAAGGAATAAGKGATTTGCCTTTTAGTGGCACAGACCAACTATATACCATTATCACCATTTAGATTTACTTAAAACTATTATTCACTAATTATGACTGGGCCAGACTCCTAATCCTGGTAGAAGACAGAGCACCTTCTGAATACTGCAGAAATGCTGTGGTGGTCCCCAAGGCTCGCAGCTATTTGTGTKCTTCATTAGCCCAGTGAAACTCAAGTCTTCTGCAGCTA